AGTCAAAAAAAAAAAAAAAAACGTTTTTAAAGTTACAAATGCTAAGTTGTATGTTCATGTAAATTATATTTTTGGGAAATCACTCAAGATGTCACCTTTTCCTTAAATATGTACCTGAAAAAAAAATGCACTTGGTTCCTTCAATGTCATGAATGTAGGTTTAAAATGCTTATCTTTAGTGAATATTATTCATTGCTTATCATCGTCTTTGGATTCCATGAGTTCTTAGCGATTGGGGGGGGGGGTATTATTCATTTCAATGATTAATTTCAAAACAATATATAAATTAAAAATGGCATGTTTCTGGTGTTGTTGATTTTGGTTTTGTACGGGCCGGGTACGGTTGCAAACTCTGTGCTGTCGGTTGACATGATGCATATAAGACAAAGTCACACTTAAAGTTTAGCATCTGTAAAGCGTTGACAAACTTTGATTACAAATTGCGATAAATACCGACACCCAGCTCAATAATCCCATTCTATGCAGATGGCCAAATCTGAAGCTTCTCTTTTAATAGATGCCCTTTAGTAGGAATAAACCAAATTTTAACAGTTCAGATATCTTCTGATGGTAACTGCAATTCCGGTAAAAGGTGACGCAGCCAACATTCTTCAGAGTAAAAGGCATAAAATACACTTTAAAAAAACCCGGAATTTGTCTAAACTTTCTCATTGCTTATGGTCGTCTGTGCATTGTATGATTGTTTGGCAATTATGGAACATATATAATTCATTTCAATAATTAACTTTAAAGGCAGTGTTACTGGTATTGTGGCTTCTGGTTTTGTATGGGCCAGGAACGATTGCATACTCTGCGCTGTCAGTTGACATGACGCAAATGAGACAAGGTCACACTTAAAATTAAGCATCTGTAAAGCATGGACAAACTTTGATTACAAATTGTGATAAATACGGACACCCAGCTCAATAATCCCATTCTATGCAAATGTCCAAATCTGAAGCTAATCTTTTAATAGATGTCCTTTAGAAAGAATAAACCAAAATTGAACGGTTCGGATATCTTCTGATGGTAAATGCAATTTATGTAAAGAGTGACGCAGCCAAAAGCCTTTCAAGTAAATGGCATAAACACACTTTAAAAAATGGCATCTGTCTAAATTTATAGAAATTGAAGTCTCACTAACCTGCTATGATACCCAAAACGATTGCCAATACAAAATTTGGCGAATCCGGTTTTTCTTCTGCAAACATAAGCATTGTAAGAGCCGCTGCACATCCAAAAGCGAAGATAGACAGGACAAGAAAGAGCCATTCCAATGGAGACAAATCAGCGCAGGATTGTCTCTTGAACTTTAAAATGGAAGGCTTAGATTCTTTCTTCTGGTAATAAAAAGAATGTGAGTAAATTGATTCAGAGCAGCATGAGAAAAAGTAAGGATGCAACATTGAAATCGGAGCTACGGCTATGGGCTGCTACTAACACATGGATATTTCTGGAATTTTTTTTAACTCAACGGATTACATATTTTGATTAAATTTTATAAAATGCAAATATGTCACAGGAGTTCATTTAGTTATAGAATTTTCACCTTTCCATTTTCCAAAAAAATCCTAAATTTACGTCACTGTATATAATAATTATATAGCTATTTATAATTAAATATTGAAAATAAAGGAATATTGTTGTAAGTGACCCTTTATATACCCGAATTACGATTCAATTGACATATAAATGCATATATAAGCATGTAAAAGCATTTTTTTACGGTAGACATCTCATGCTCAGCGTTTCAAAGGTAATCATTATATACACTATTATTTATCTACATACATTCGGCGTCATCGTTTTCTTCGCAGATCTGTTTAGGCTCGGTGGTTGAGTTCGACATCTTCGAGTCTCACCTGAAAATGAAGATTTTGATCTTTTTTTCGAAAGCCCTCTTAAATCCGCAAAGTTTCGATTGTTACTTATGTTAGTCATGTTAGTAATGGACAAAACCAAGTCGCCCCAATCATTTAATGCCCAAATTAAATGAAGAATAGGCCCTAACTCGTGATTTGCAAGACAGGAAATACATTTGTTTTTTTTTTTTTTTTTTTCAAATCAGGACAACTGACAGGACTGTAGCCACCGAGGCAAATAAATCAAACGTACGTAGGCAGACTACCATGACTGCTAGCCCAGGTTGGCCTCCGTTGTGACTCACTGACTGCTAGCCCAGGTTGGACTCCGTTGTGTACACGCAACGGAGTCCAACCGGCATGACCTGGGCTTCGTGACTGCGTAAATAACATGTTAAACCGCAGCCGCCGCTGGCTGACGAAACCTGCAAAGAAACGTGACCTTTGCATGACCATATTTCACACATTTCGACGGTACAGAAGAACATCGAGGACTTAAGTGTTTTCACTGCATGAACAGTCCTGTTTTGTTTGGAAATGGACAAAAGATAAAGACTTACGTAGGTTGAAAAAGCTGATTCTTGTTCCAAGAACATGACGAAAACATCGGTACACCAACAAACAAGATGGCGGCACAACGAGTTTTGAATGGTCCGCGCACTGGTCTGGTTCCCATGGCGCTATGACGCGTGGGCATCGGGAATAATTGCCAGGTCTGGGATCAAACTATCCTCGCCCCTCACATTGTCACAATGCGCATGCGTGAGAGTATCGCAAGAATCTTTGACTAGACGGATTCCGATATGGCGATCACTGATCTCTAGTCATTCAAGTTCGAAAAATTTTCCGAAAAGAAATTCAAATAAAAATATGAACTATTTAAATAAAAACTCGAAAAAAATGCTCTCGAAAAATAATTAATAACTGCTCTGGGAAGAAACAAAATTGCCCTGCCAAAAACAATCACTGCCCTGTGAAAAAGATGCTCTCCAGCTTTGGAAAACAAACTCTGGAAAACAAACTGCTCTGGGGAAAAAAATTGCTCTGTAAAAAATGACTGCTCTGGGAAAATATAACTTGTCTGGAAAGAAACATTAATGCTCTGAAAAAAAACTGGCTCTAGAGACTGCTCTGGAAAAAATAAAAGTGGTGGCACCAACACTAACAGGATTTCGTAAACTAGTGATCAATGGTTGAAAATACTTTTGAAATAACACAGAAATACACGTTATTATATTGTACATGTTTTTATCAAAGACATTTACTTGGGAAACGGAACAATTTCAATATCTTTTGACAAAAATTAGACTAATTTTTGACTAATAAATATGTGACTAACGGATTTTGGACTAATTTGTGAGCCCATATGAATAACTTGTTCATACAGTGTTGGGAAAAATATACCAATTGAAACAAATTTGAATCCCAAATGAAATTTCCAATTGATGGGTGAAATGGACGGGAGGAACAACATACAAATTGAAGCCAATTGAGTCGAATTAAATTTCCAATTGATTGGAGAAAATAGACGGGAGAAAAAACATGCCAACTGAAACCAATTGAGTCCCAAGTGAAATTTTCAATTGATGGGGAAAAATAAACGGGAGGACAAACATACCAGTTGACACCAATTTGAGTACCATTTGTTGGAGCCAATTCATTCCAACTCATTCCAATTCAAAAATCAATTAATTTGAATAGGCCGTTTCCAGTAGGGAGGACCGTGCTAGGACTACGGTTCGACGAAATTGATTGGACGCGTCGGCTGTAAATCATTAGGCAGGAATCTAATATGACGTCGGCCTGAAAAACGATAGCCGACGTCGGCGGAACGGCTTCTATAAGTCCTAACGGTTAGCCGGTTTCCCACCAACGTCGGCAAAACGGTAACAACTCGACGTTGGCTGTAGGACTGTGCCGGGACTACGGTCTGACGTAACTGATTGGACGCGTCGGCTATAAATCATCCCGCCGACGTCGGTGAGAATCTGAATAATATGACGTCGGCCAGAAGAACGATAGACTACGTCGGCTGGCCGTTTTGTTGGGGCGTGTCGATGAACTGCATTCCCACCAACGTCGGCAAGACGGTTAGAGCCCAGCGTCCGTTTCAGGGACCTTGGTACGACCTCATTGCGACTGCCTTTGGCCGACCGCGACCATTTACCGACTTTGCCGACTGATCCCCGACTGAACACGACGTCGGGCCGACGTCAGCGTGCTATCTAGGAAAGGGTATTCAAAGCCATGCTCGTGAAATTGAAACTTGAAGTTAAAGGATTCGTGAGACGCAAAAGCCCAATTTCTGTTGATGATATGGAGAAAATGCAAGCATCAAATCAGTTGGACATGAGTTCTCCCTGGGGACTGCAGAATAAGGTATTAATAATAAATAATAATAATAACATTTATAAAGCGCCTTTTCCTAGGGTTACAAAGCGCTCAGAAAATGACCCAAAAATACAACAATGACAAGGATAAAAAAATGGAAAACCAAATGGAACCGAAACCACTGCCAGGCCCAGGCCAAGGCGCTCAGACAAGAGAGCCCAGCGAAAGAATTGCAGGGAAACAATCAAAGGGAGACCGAGGAGTGCAGGGGCTTTCTGAGACAAGCACACGCGGGCCAGGCCTGACAAGGTAGTTACAGATTAAACAAATGTGTCTTTAATGACCCTATTCGTTGACGTTATGTGGAATTTCGTTTCGTTTGTTGTACGATATGCTAATTGGCTCGTTGCAGCGCTTACTTCAGGTTATGCAATCAAGAATGTTCACCTAATCTCCTTTATATAGAGCTGTTTTAGTTCTAAGCATTCATTCCCAGTCAAGCGACACACCCTGCTACACCAGACTTAGTGACTGCCAATACAGCTCCTGCTTATGCGTCATGTCACAGAGCGATATAAAACCTCAGCCCGTTGGCGGCAATCAAGAAATCTTGCAAGCCATCCAGGCTCTGACAAACTCTATAGACTCAAAAGTCCAATCTGCTTGCAAGAAGAAGAAACTCACCGACACACCTACCTTCAAGAGGGATGGTAATCAGCAGCAATTTTCTCATTGCGAGAAAGTGCTAACCTTAATCGAAACCTCTCTACAGAACATCGAAACCACCCGATTCACATCGTATCTGTATGATACTACCATCATGGTGGTACGATTGTTAGATGGTATTATCGTGATGTGTTATAGCATCGTAACACGTACTATAATGTTTTATCATATTACCATACAACTTCCTTTGCGGAGATTTCATGTATTATGCATGACTTTTTTCCGTGTATGAACCAATGGTGTTCGTGGCTTCATTTGTCACGGGCACCGTGATCCCGGTTCGGCTGGGCGGAGCGGCGTCGCATACGTGGCCCGACACCTACCCCGGCCGTACGTCACGCTGGCCTGGCCCTTCGATGTGAGTGCATGCACAGTAGCCATCTTGGACCCAAAGCGTATATATGTTGCGTGCAAATCATTTACCGAGAAAGGTCAGAACAACGGAATGAAAACAAGGCGAAGAGCTGGTTGTGTAAAGGTCTGTGCTTATTTATTTACTAATTCTAATATTTAGGGAGAGTTGCTTTTAGGCTTACTTATGTCATTGACCCTGTTAGCCCCATTAATGTGGCCTATTTACTGGACTGCCTCCGTAAACATAGGCCACACAATCCCGGGACATACCGTTATTTCGTTTTACCGTTTTGGATTTCCTCAAAAACAAAAACAGTAAACGCACCGTTGACCGTTTTTTCGTTTTACAGTTTTGTAAAACGGTCAAACGGTATTAGGTCACAAAAAAACATTGACCTTTTTGTTGTTTTTCTTGATTGTTGAAAGCGATAAACGGTTAGTTGCTTCATTTCAGAATGTTGTTTTACAAGAACATGACAATGAAAAACGGTCAATAGTCCTGTCGACCATTTTTTGTATTTAGGTTCGGCAATTTAGCAATGCACCTAGGAATGTTAATGCGTCCTCATGGGATCGAGTCATTGCCTGGGACCCAAATTACCCTCCTCACATTTTGTTCTCGCGACATAGTTTTCGAACTGGCTATTAAAAAGCCGTGCCGAACTCCAATTTCCTTCAAATATCTGCAACTTCTTCAAACGTATTACCATCCTGTATCCATTGTAAAAGGTAATGTCCCCCCTTGAAATTTTCCAGCGCCATTTTTGCTTGCAACTCTTAAGCCCCACCAACTGAATCGCGTGAGAATGGGGTCAGGGTCACGCCAGGAATCACACCACGCATTATGCCGAGGTAACACTTTTTCATGTAAAGCATGGTCCCCCTCCATCCCCCTTGCCCAGCACCACAAAATGCACCACGGACTGTTCACTATGACACTGAAATAAAAAAATGTCTGTATTCAATACTGACCGTTTTGCTGTTTTTCAAAGTTATTTGTGTAAAACTGTAATACCGTTTGACCGTTTTACAAAACTGTAAAGCGACAAAACGGTCAATGGTTTGTTTACTGTTTTTGTTGTGAGGAAATGCATAACGGTAAAACGAAATAACGGTATGTCCCGGGATTCAACACATCCACATGTACAAAAACGTGTCGCACTTTGCCAAATTTTGATTTTCGCATTTAGGCTTAGTTTGTAGGGTTTTTTTTTGCTTAAGAAGCATACTCACCCTCTTTATAGGCTAATCAGAAAGTGCTGCCTTTTTCAGATGTATATTTTTCGTAAAATTTCCAGATTCATTTTTACACGTTTGCGTATCAAAATTTCAACATGAAATTTCACAAAAATTAGACATCTGAAAAAGGCAGCATTTTCTGACTAACCTATAAAGAGGGTGAGTATGCTTCTAAAGCAAAAAATTCCCACAAACTAAGCCTAAATGTGAAAATCAAAATTTGGCAAAGTGTGACACGTTTTTGTACATGTGATGTGTGGCCTATGTTTACGGAGGCAGTCCAGTAAATAGGCCACATTTATTGGGCTATGACCCTGTATGAAAATCCTGTCAATGCCGCAACTTGCATATTACTAGGACTATAAAATTAGAAAACACATGGTTTTTCTCAGCTGTAGACATAGACCATAGGCTTAATCATGAATTTTGTTAACCGTGGATGCTTGGGCAGTAAATGCATGAGCTATAGTCGCCGAAATGCTGAGTGGTGTGCTACCTACTTCGACATGTTTGAGTCGCTTGGAACTTGGAGACTACATTATCATCATGCATTGTGTTAGCCCCGTAAATGTGGCCGATTTGCTGGACTACCTCTGTAAATAAAGGCCACACTTGGAACATGTAGGCCTTTCCGATAATTTTTGAAATTTGTTAAATTTTTATCTTCACATTTAGACTGTAGTTGAAGTTTGTTTACGCTTCTGAAGCACAATTACCCTCTTAAGTTTAAAACAATAAAAAAAGTCCTCTTTCTGAGACGTCTATTTTCAATATAGTTTCCACGTTCGTTTGCACACCTTGGGGTATATTACGAAAGATCACGTAAAATAGGAGTCTAAGAAAGGCGGGACGTCTTAATTTCTATCGCTATACAAAGGATGAGTGTACATGTAACTCTAAAGCGTAAATAAACTACATTCGTGCTGAAATGCAAACGCGTCTTTTTTCTCCGGAGCGGACACTGCACTGGGCCTCCGTAAAATAAGTCTGGTGTGGGTGGGTGTGTGTGTGGGGTGGGTGTGTGTGTGTGGGGGGGGGGGGGGGGGGGGGGGGGGCTGGTACCATCTGTCAATGGGGGCGCTGTTCAAACCAATATTTATATGGCGCTTTTCAGGGCAATCCATGCGCAAAATTAAAAGAAAAAAAACCGTAAAGACCGCTGGAACACAAAGGGCATGAATTTTGTTTACATTGGTGGGGGGGGTGGAGGGTGGGGGTGGTGGGGGGGGGGGTAAGCGCTGCTATAAATAGGGCATTTGAATGGAGAGGGCAGTATTTACGAACTATTTGAGGTACATCACACCCCCACCCCTTAATCCCCCCCCCCCGCCTGTCCCTGTTGTCGTCAATCCTGTACTGAATCTTAGATTACTTCCGGTTTTTTTTCTCAACAAAAGAAAATCTTTCTGAATTGTTTTGAAAAGAAAGCAAAGGGGATTATGGCGATGGCAGAAGGGTCGGCACATAGTGTGGGAACATTTATCAATAGGGAAAAATCGTATTAAAAACGCATTTTATTCGTTGCAGATGTTATTGCGGTTAATATTCCGTAACGGATTATGAAATGTAAATCCTTTCCCCTTTGCAGCTCGGAGCTAACGCTGAATGCCGTGTGGAGGGCTGTCCACAGTATGGGAAGGTGACCGTCAGACTCGATCGCCATCTGGTGAGGCAGCATCAACTCAGCAGATCCGAACATGACAGCCTCCCTCAGTGTTCAGCTGTCAAAGCTCGTCGACACCGATTATTGAGAAGACAAGAAAGATGTCTACTAGATGGGTGTATTCGCAATAATGTTTTTTATTGCAATTTGGCAAAGCATCTGCGAAACATGCATCAAATGACACGACAGCAATATAGACAAAAGTAAGTTGGAAAGGGTTAGATAGACCCTTGGGCATTATTTACATGCTGTCGATGTTCTCACACTGCATCTAGCACCTTTATCAATGCGTACCATGTTGACAGAAGATTGGATTCTGTTACTGTGGTTTTTTCTTCTTTTATGTGTTTTTGTTGTAGATTGTCTTTCGGAGAGAGGACATTTTGTCTTTTTCTATAGTTCTTTTGTTTTCGCTGTGTTTGTTGTTTTGACATTTTGTTTTTTGTTTATTTTTCCTAACCATATTTTGCTTCGCTTAGTTTTGTTTTGCGTGCAGTTTTCCATCGCACTGAACATAATTATAAACGAGCACTTAGATATATCTGGACGGTGTCCCACAAACCCATCAACTAGGCCAGTAAGAATTAACATTATCTCCCTGGGGAAATGTAATTTTTAAGCTCTTATAAAAGACTTAAAAATGACCTTGACCCAATATTAATGATGCCGAAGTGGGAACAATGATTAGCCGGGGTATAATAGAGGCTCTCAATAAGTTAGTCAGATTCCAATATGGGCAGTATAGTAGAGCATATCAGCTTCAAAAACACACCCGCGAAACCTATATGGAGCAAGTTTTTTACCTTTATTAGCCTACATTAAAATGAGATAGTTTATCACGATACTCGAACTGATGTTATATTAAATTAACCCTCTTTGCTGATTATAATTAAGAGCCAGACAAACTTATTTGCAGACAAACCCCAATGATAGATGTCAGATTTAAGGGTTTACATACTTTTCCCCATTTGTTTTTCTGGTGTGAAAATATTTCTGGAATCATGTAGGGAACAAAATAGTTTCACCAGCCCAATTCTAAAAGATTTATGCGGGTAAACCTTTGACACAAAAATGATGACGAACGGTAATTAAAAAAGAACATCTTAGCATCTTGAAGATCTTAAATTCTTTAACGCTATACAAACTGTGGATTTGAACTTCACTAAAATAATGATCGCACACGTCCTTTCCATGAGCGTCGCGAGGGGGGGGGGGGGGGGCAAGGTGGTCCTTTCGCTGGGTTTTAATACACACCAGACGGCAGTCACTATAGAAGGATTGTTTTCTTTGCAAGGTTTTGCAATTTTCGTTACCGGTATTTATTGCATGGGGGCACTATATAGTTGGCCTCATTTTCAGCAGGCGCATTCATACAATAGTACTGCAATAAAAGGGTTATTTATATCTCCACTATTTGAGAAATGGTTTTGGTTGAGATGGGGAGAAAAAGTGTCGGGGGTTAACACCTCGGATGTGGATGGGCGTGACCCAACACCACCCTCCTTTTTTGCAACACTATAATGATATTCGTTGGGAAAATCGTTTTTATGTATTTATTATTATGACAATGCCTAGACAATGAGAGCAGTTTGGGGGCAGTTTAGCCATTTTGTGTTTTGGTAATGATGGCAATGATTTTGACAGTGACGGTGACGACAATGACGATGACGCCAATTCTTACTGGTCTAAACGGTTATCACCAAAGAGTTTTATTGTTTTTCTCTTTGCTGAAATATTCTTTTTTGTTTATTTGTTTAGGCTGGAGTCCGAAGAAGATGATCCAGCTTGCTCACTGGTGCTGCAGCGGTCTAATTATTCTCCTACCCACTATGCGGAAGGTACGGGCTCGATAGAGTTTTTGTGTGTTAAATTGTGTTTAATTTCATGGCCATTGATGACATCTAGATCCAAAAGATATGACACGTAAAATTTGATTAGTATGTTTTTAAACATTGCAGGATAGTTTTGTAATAAATTTTCTAACCAACAATTCAGTCTTTTGGAGAACCCCCTAATATCCATCCGCAAACATGTCCAGTTTTCAGAACTTGTTCCCATTCGTCATGGAAATACCCATTTGATGTCATGGACCCATTTCAAAACGGCGGAGATTACTTGAAGTCAATTTCTGTCACATTTTTTGGTTAGTTTTGCTTGTAACAAGTAAAATGTATGCGTGCAGGCCTATACATGTATTATACAGAGGTTAAAATTTGCATGTTCATGAATACTTAAACCTCTTTTTCTTAAATATAGAATGTTTATACATTTTTTAAATATTTTTTTAGTAGCATTAATGAGAGTCTTTCTGGCTTCCAAGAATTAAAATTGGTAGTTTTTGTCCTCAAAATGACAATTTAAGAAATGTATTCACAGAGGCTGAAAAGTCCACTTTAATTTTGAAAGGTTGGCAAGTGTGTAAACAATCAATAACAAGCAATTTCTCTTTTCTACAAGCAATTTTCGACATATTGTCTTCACGTTTCCGAACTTCAACTGTGGAAAGGAACAACTGTTCTCCTGTATTTGACATGCATTTTTCTTTTATTTTATTCAGGTGATGACTGCCCTGCTGTAGTGGAACATCCATCGAGCAAAGACTCTCTATGTAGTTCAGGTATTTACTATTTCCCTATGTTTTTACTTACTGAGTGATTACACTAAGTCATAGGTTGACTTTTCCATTTCATTTTTAATATTTATTTAATGTACAATTGTATCAGATGATCGTCATACATGGGCCCATCAGGCGTTGAATATGCATTATTAAAAGGAATACTTTCGTGTTCGTGTTTTTCATGTGTATTTAAATCTGTGATGATCTGGTCACCATTAATTAACGAATATGCATGTTTTCCTCTTCCCGGATTTTTGAAAAGAATTATCAAGAGTCAGTGATAAAAGTCATCTTTAACTGACTTTTGATTGTTTTTCCTTTACAATTTCAAGTACTGGTGACAAAGCGGAATTAAAAGTACTCGTACATGTATTTTGACACTTTTTCAGGTTGTGATTCCTTGCCCTTCGACGAGGACACGGAACCAGGGACGACGAATCTATATCCAAAGGTTAAACTTATCCAGGTTGAAATGGCTTTGGATAATTTAGTAATCGTGAGAGAAAGATTGCCTGCAGTACAGACGTTCGATGGGAACCAACATGTATCCCGGTTTTATTTAAAAAAACATTTGATATCAGCTGAACACTGGTTGGCATTCATAAATTCTTTAGAATCATCTGGGAAGTTTGTGACCAAAGGCGCTTTTGGTACTTTTCAGTACGAATGTTGCCTGTGTAATCATTGGCACAGACTTTCCATGTGGGGAACACCTTCCCTGTATTGAACTGCCTCCCAGTTGTCTATGCAAAGTTTAGATTAAAATGGAATGAATCTTATTTTAAGACATTTGTGTTATAATGTATTGTGTATAAGATATCTTGACCAAAAATATCTTATTCTCTTGCTGCTCTCCCACCGGTCATAATTGAAGGAAGCATTTTATTTTTTGTTATTCCAGGTTTTGCAATCTGCAGGCGCGGATACGGGGGGGGGGGGGTGTGTTCAACCCCCCTGCCCCAGCTTGTCTTTTTTTCTATAGAAATTCATGAATCCCCCCCCCCCCCCCCCGTCTGACACCCATTTTTTGTTACTGGTAATACTGTCCGCCTTTGCACAAAAATACGGACAGGGCCGGATTTCTCTAGGGGATATACATGTATATACACTATTGTGTGATAAAAGTGTTAATTATCGTCGGTTTTGAACAACGACCCCTTTTAAAGTGCGAAACCCCACCCCCCCCCCCCCCCCCCGCAAAAAAATCTGGATCCGCCCCTGCTCTGCATTACTAAAAAAGGGTTGTGTGCTGTTCTTTGGTCCCAGACGTACCGTTCAGTGCCACTACAGTTAAATGAAAGGCGGTACCCTTGCACGATATTGAGAGAAAGTCCCACTAAACTTTTAAGTTGCTATAACAGCGGAGCTAATTGTTTTAACCTAGAATTTTAATTGAATAAGAATAAAAACTATAAGCTTTACAATTTTTGACATTTTATGTTTTTGCATTAGGCTTTATTTTCTGTAGGATTGTCTTGTTAAATAAATCTCCTTGGATCTCTTTCACAATTATTTAAGAAAATGATCAATTGTTCTTCATTAATTTGCCTGAAATTTGTATCCAATTCTAACAGGTCATCCAATTTAAATGTGTTCTTGCCTCGTGTTCACTGTGCATAACGGAAGTACGTATATAATGATTTTATATATAAAAAAAAAACACTGATCTCCTATGGATTCCAGCTCTCACAAAACTACTTTTAACATACAATTAAAAAATAAAGTGTACAATGTAAAAATGTGAAAAGATTCATTAACAGATGATAAACATATATTAGAATATAATACAAAACATCATGCAATATGACATATCCCCCTGTTCTAGTATTTGTCTTGGTTTTTTTTTTGGGTGGGGGGGGGGGGTGTATATATGCATGCAGTCTCAAAACCGTTCAAACAATGTGGATGTGGTTAATAAGGTGCAAGTGAATTTAGGCATTTAGGTTAGCAATAATATCACACAAGCTCCTGAATTTGCACAATAAGCTACTAATAGCCATAAAGTAAATGACCTAATACCCTACAATATTAAACAAACTTTGTTATGTACCACAGACCGACTCTGATTACTGACAGATGTCGTACTTTGGTTGATAATATATCATTATGGGGTTTTGAAGCCTTGGGAAGCTGTAATCGCCGATATTGATGAACATTCGTCGGGTTTTATAACTGTCCATAAAATCAAATTGAAGAAACAGTATCCTCAAAATTGAAGCAGATTTTTGTTTTATAAACAACATTTGTAAACAATATCAACCAACTGGACTGAAGCTTGATTTTTTTTTACAAAACAAATAGGGCCTACTTAAAGTTTACTGCGAAAGAATGTTATTAAACTGGTCGATACGAACTATTGAATTATAATTTTACAAAAGCACAAAAAAAGAAAGAAAGTAGCACGAACATTTACATAAAGCGTTAGGATTTGGATTTGTTGAACTGTAAAATCATGTTCCTTGGGACATTCCAGCTGGCTTCCCAAGTGCCCTCTTCTTCAGGTAGCCCTCCCAGTGAACCAGATACTGTACCTTTCCACGTCTGATACGTTTTTTTTAGTAACTTCTTGATCGTGTACAGGACTTCAGATGCGTGGTTGGCCTCCACGCTTTGTTTCAGGATTTTTAGATCCGTCGGCAAATCGTCTTCATCTATGGAATAAAAATGTTGGTAATTAGTCTTGAAACAACATATTCACGAATAGGCTACAATTAATGTCCAATATGAAAGTATTTTCGGTGGTGCATTGTGGTCATGGGCGTCGTCAGGATTTTTCGGGGGGGGGGGGGGGCAAATGCCTTGATACTTGTTATATACGTTATATACCTTCTCTAGCATATTCTTATTTACTATTTTCTTTATCCCCCCCCCCCCCGGCTTTGAAGCCACACGTATTGCGATCGCATATTCCTTCTGTGTGGGTGCGTGCGTATGTATGAAAGACAGATCGTTCCACTTCGGTAAGGTTCCGTATTCAGTCATCAATCTCAAACGAACTAAATATGTGGTTATTGCTCATTGTATCTGGTAAAGTGATTAGACTCGAGCAGCAACAGGTCATGACCTCCGGGGCCACTCTGGTCCTAGGTAGCCAAAGATTGATGTCACTTTGTTTCTCTAGTGTCGTGAAAGTTGACTCCACGGCTACTCTGGTTCTATCAAGGGCGGATCCAGGGGGGGGGGGCCAAAGGGGGCCATGCCCCACCCCCCCCCCCCAAAAAAAAGAAACCAATTTTTGTTTTTATGTAACATCGCAATAAAGGCAGGCAATGAGTACACCACCATCTTTCCTCAAAAAAACATTGGTTTAAAGTGGTCAGAAATTGCCTCAGTTCGCACCACAGAGCATCTAGAATCCAACAAAAATTTCGGGGCCCTTAAGCGGGCCCCGAACCCCACGCCGTAATTTTTTTGACCCACTTTTTTGAGGGAACCAATTGTTTTTTTGGCCCCTCCAAAATTGTGTTCTGGATCCGCCCTTGGGTCCTATTGCCAAACCCTGTTGCGAGTATGACACATTTCAGTTTGGTAAGGTACATGTACAGTTGTACACTGAAAACTGTTGTTAGACATGTGCACTTTCCTATGGAGCCAGTGGGGCCCACTTGTACAACAAGGTGTGCATGTCATTAGTACAGAGGCTTATTGCTTATATTTTTTTCTTGGGGGGGGGGGGGCTTTTTCCTCGATTGGATATCGGTGTATGCAGACTATTTTTCCTTTGTTTGATTTTGTTTTCTCCTTTTTCTATTACGTTTTTTTTCTTTTTCTTGAAGATATACCGGTGTAGATTTTCCGTAAACAATCGATACAAAGGGAAGAACTGAGAACGCGGCTTTATCACTTGAGGATGTTTCAAATTAAATGCTCACATGCCCAATAACTAGGCCCATGCATATTTATGTATTTTACACTGTTAATGGTCAACCATGCTTAGGGTAGAGGGTAGTTTGAGCAGCAGCAATCACACTGGCGTATCCAGGTCGGGGAGAAAGGTCTG